GGGCGGGGGCACCGGAGCGCCTGGGGCAGCGACAGACTGAGCAGAAAGTGGGGGCAGAGGAAGGGGAGCGAGGAGAAGCGGCCACAAAGCCTGTTCTGGTGCAGCGCGCCAAGGGTGCGCTGGTTTTTAACTTTTTGGCCTTTCTGGTCTCACTGAGCTTTTTGCCCTTTGTTTGTTTTCGTTTTAATAGCAGCGTTTGAGGTTTTTAATGTTCTATCTAGTCACATTTGGTTGTTTTTTTCTAAGCTTTTATAGTTAAAAAAAACCACGCTGCTTGCAGTTAGCAACAAACGGATTTATCGGGGGAAGTGGTAATAAAATAGGATTGTTTTGATATAAATAATTTCCTTTAAATTATTAAAAACAACTTATTTGCAAAAACATTGGGGGAGGTGAATAAATTAAGTAGCTGTCATTTTTGAAACAAAACATGATTTCTGTGCTGTCTGATTAGTTGTAATTCTGTTGCTATTATCTTATACTGGACCTTAAGGGTTGGTTGTTTTTTTGCTTTTCTGAACTTTGCACAGGTTTTTAGAACTGAGACATTAAAAAAAAAAAGAAAAAAGTTGTGTATGGTTGAGACTTGAGAGTCTACATTTCATTCATTTCAGATAAACCCATGTTTACCATACTGTAGTGTCACTGAAAAATCCCAGACACTTTCTTCTGGAAGACTTGGTTTCTAAATAATTATTTTATAATCGTTGCTACTTATGGATTCATTTAAAAGACTTGTCTGATTTGATTTGAAATAGTTTCTGGACAGGTTTTGTTACGAGCATCTCAGTATGGCTGGATGACATTGGATATAGAAGGGAGGCATCTGGGTTTGGTTCTGAGGTTTTTTACTTCACATAAGAGTACTTGCTTGACACACATTGTCATCTTTTGAGCTGCTTGTATCGGTGCTCCAAGAACTGCTAGTCTTCCACTTAAGGCCATGAATGACTTAACAAACTTTCAGAAACCAGCTTTTTGAGCACTTAAACTATTAAAAGTATTTTTTGATTCCGTTTGTTCCAAAATCACTTTCTATTCATTTTCATGAGCACTGAACTCCATTTTCTGATTTAAAATACTGTGTTTATTTTTCAATGTGTTACAATCAAAGGAGTACAAAACACAGCTGAGTTCCTGTTGCATATCCAAAACATGAGAACTGGACATGTGGAGAAACCACTGGAATTAAAATTTTTAGGGTTTAAATGCATCTGTCTACATATAAACTCGAGTAAGAGTGCAGTTCTAATCTCATGATGCATTAAGTAATTTTTCATCAAGAATAGTTG